TCAATTTTTATAAAATGATGACAGACTGTATAAATGAAAGACTATGCTGAAATTTCATGAATGAAATTACTTTTGGCTATTTTCCTCCCAGAATTAGTTATATATATTAGACATAGAAATAAATTCAGCAATGATTAAATTCAAGTTTTTGATGAACCTGCAGGGCACTCTCACTGAATTGCGTGTTTAACATCTGAGTTTTGGTTCTGACATATTGCCACTAATTTTGCCATGTAACAAGTTAACCTTTGATAATTTAAGGCCCTTTCCAGCTCTAAACATCTGATACACAACTGAATTTGGATATCTGACCCAGATCTTTGGACCTCAGTTTTGTTCTCTGTAAAAGGGAAGTGCCAACCTAATCAAAACCCTGTAACAGAGCTTTATAGGTGGATGATCAAAGAAACATTAACCCTGTACAAAAGTCTCCTGGGAGAATTATGTTTCCTTGGGGGAAAGCTGGGAAAGCTGCATACTATAGAGTGCATTCCCTTCAATATTAGCAAATCACATTACCATATCAAATGCTCTGAGAAGTAAAGCAAGCAGTTCAGCTTGATTTTGACTAGTGTTTCCTAAACTCATTTGGACCTGGAACAGTTTTTTCAGATAACATCTATTTAGCATGTTAAAAATTTAGCATGAAACTAATTTTCTTTTTTTTTTTAAATATATTTTATTGATTTTGTACAGAGAGGAAGGGAGAGAGAGAGTTAGAAACATCGATGAGGGAGTCATCGATCAGCTGTCTCTTGCACACCCCCTACTGGGGATGTGCCCGCAACCAAGGTACATGCCTTTGACCGGAATCAAATCCCGGACCTTTCAGTCCCCAAGCCGACGCTCTATCCATTGAGCCAAACCGATCCCGGCATGAAACTAATTTTCTAAGACACACAGTTTGGACTGCCAATATGAATATTCTTAGGTATTAGAAGTAGTCTGAACACCCTTATGAATGTACTAGCTTTGTGCCTGCTGTGGCTTGTAGCCTTATCTTTTAGTCAACAGAGACTCTGAAAAATCATGTTCCTCAGTTAGTCATTGATTATCAAGTCTCCAAAATAATGAGTAAAAATTTTAAGCCTCTCAGATTGTTTAACTTGAGCTTCTTTTTCTTCGTCATAAAAACATGGAATGTGGCGATCAATCATTTCAGATACAAAATACCAACTTAAAATAAAAACACAAGAAAAGTTCTCATCTCCAGGATCTATTTGAAACAAATCAAATCAGGTCAGGTTAATATCTGCAGAATATATCTGCCAAGGTGAAGATTATGTCATAATTTATTCTTAGTTCTAGTTTTACCACTCAGTCATTAGGTAACCTGGGGAAAATGAATTCCCTTTAGGCTGAGCTGAGACATATGGATGTTATTTCAAAATGATCTTCTTTTTTAAGCATTAGCAGTTATCATAATAATTTCTGAAATTTGGTGTTTTTTGGTTTGTTTTCTTCAGAGTAGGTCACAAGAATTATGTGGAATTTACTGTATTACAGCATTTATTTTCCTCACATATAATTTATAGATAGATTGTAAACAATTTGCAATTATTTCAAAGAAGGCAATATTCACTTTGTTTTACTGTGAAGTATAGTATACAAAATGAAAAATGTATAGGTAGTATATAGAACAATGATAAAATGAATCTTTGTAACCAAGTTCCAAAGAGTATTTAAAATATATATATTTTTATTGATTTCAGAGAGGAAGGGAGAGGGAGAGATAGAAACATCGATGTTGAGAATCATTGATTGGCTGACTCTCACACACCCACAACTGAGGATCGAGCTGAAATCAGGCATGTGCCATTAACTGGAATCGAATGCGGGATGTTTCAGTCTGCAGGCCGATGCTCCAGAGTATTTTTGAGACATTTGTTCAGTGTCTTTTTAGAGAAGTAGAGTGCTGCATAGAGAAAGGGCAAAGGTGAACCATGAGTTGCAGTAGGGGTACTTGCAAACCCCAATCAGCAAGACATATGCTCTATGTGATCCATCCTCCTTGGAAGGGCTATTTAAAAAAAAAAATTATATATATTCTTAGGTAAGGGTAAGTTCCTTCCAAGGATTTTACTCAAAAAATAGCCCTCCAGCCTGGTCATTGTGGCTCCATGGTTGAATGTTGACCTATGAATCAGGAGGTCACAGTTCAATTCTCAGTCAGGGCACATGCCCAAGGTTTCAAGTTCAATGGCCAGTAGGACATGCAGATAACATCTATTGTATTTAGCATCCCATAAAACTAATTTTCTAAGACACACAGTTTGGACTGCCAATATAAATATTCTTAGGTACACATACACACACACACACACACACACACACACACACACACACTAGTGGTAGTGGCCTGGTGCATGAAATTTGTGCACGGTGTGTGTATGTGTGTGTGTGTGTGTGTGTGTGTGTGTGTGTTCCTCAGCCAGGCCTGCACCCTCTCCAATAGGGCACCCCTCGAAGAATGTCCTATTACCGGTTTATAGGGATTGAGCCTAAACCGGCATCCCTCTCACAATCTGGGACTGCTCGCTCCAGCTGCTCACCTGCCTGCCTGATTGTCCCTAATCACTCTGCCTGCCAGCTTGCTCACCCCCAACTGCCTCCCTGCTGGCCTGCTTACTCCAAACTGAACCCCCCTCCCCCCCGTCCTGATCATCTCCAACTGACCCTCACTGATGGCCTGCTCACCTCCAACTGGCCCTCTTGCTGGTCTGCTTATCCCCAATCCCCCCCCCCCCCCGCCCCCAGCCAGATCTCCACAACTGCCATCCCATCCTGGCCTGATCACCCCTGGTGACCCAAGCTCCCAGCCTCTTCTTTGTATTTTTTCAGAGCCTCCTTGAGTGGAGGCCAGGGCCTGAGGCAAGCAAGTATCTGGGATTTATTTATCTTCTATAATTGAAACTTTGTAACCTGGAGCAGAGGCCAGGGCTGGCCCAGGGAGTGGGGCGGGAAGCTTGGCTTCCTTCATCACTGGGGCAACCCAAGCCTCCTCACTCCAGCTTCATGGCCACTGCCATCTTGGTTGGGTTAATTTGCATACTCACTCCTGATTGGCTTGTGAGCATAGCTTGAGGGCGTAGCAGAAGTATGGTCGATTTGCATGCTTCTCTTTTATTTGTGTATGTGTGTGTGTGTGTGTGTGTGTGTGTGTGTGTGTGTGTATTGATTTCAGAGAGGGTGAGGGAGAGAGTCAGTGATGGGAGATAACCATTGATTAGCTGCCTTCTGCATGCCCGCTACTGGCCATTGAACCTGAAACCCTGGGCATGTGCCCTGACTGAGAATTGATCTGTGACCTCCTGATGCATAGGTCTACACTCAACCATGGAGCCATAATGAGGTGGCTGGAGGGCTATTTTTTTAGTAAAATCCTTGGAAGGAGCTTATCCTTACCTACTGCCACCCCAGGGATTTAGCAAAATGTTCCTTTCAACCACACTCAATCCTCTCTTGAAGGAGATCTATAAAATATGATATTCCCTCACTTATTTGTTTTATCGGGTCTAGTAATAATTAATGTCGTTTTTAAACATTCGTTTAAAATCTTGCTTGGCGTTGACTTGTATTGACATAACCTTCAAACACGTGGTATCTACAGAACGTGTGAAGTGCAATTAACAAGTTTTGCTTGAAAAAGTTTGGTTTGGTTTTTGTTGCAAAACTAGGGCTAAGAAGATGGCGGATGAAGAGCATATTCAGCACTGCATGCTTTATGAGTTCCAATTAGGAAGAAAAGCAAGTGAGGCTGCAAAAAACATCTGTAGTGCTCTTGGTCAAGATGCAGTTAGCGCCAGAAAATGCCAGCGTTGGTTTGAGAAATTTCGCGAGGGAAATTTTTCGTTAGATGACAAGAGTGGTCGAGGCCGTGTGTCCAATTTTGATCAAGAAGCTCTTCAAGCTCTTTTGGTGCAAAATCCTCAAATTACCCAACAAGAGCTTGCGACAACTTTAAATTGTTCACAAAAAACAATTTCCAATCAATTGCGTGCACTTGGCAAAGTCCAAAGTTTGGAAAATGGGTTCCTCATGAGTTGACCGACAACAACCGTAATCAGAGTCACAATTTGCAGTTCGCTCCTCTCTCGTCAAAACCATTTGCCGTTTTTAGAGCAAATTGTTACCGGAGATGAAAAATGGGTGCTGTCTGTTAATTTGAAAAGGCGGCCTCAATGGTTGGACAAAAATGAGGCTCCGCAGCCCACGCCAAAACCTGACTTGCATGCGAAAAAAGTGATGTTGTGTGTTTGGTGGAATTTTAAAGGAATTCTTCATTATGAACTTTTACCATCTAACCAAACCATTACAAGTGCAGTGTATAGTGCCCAATTGGAAAGTTTAGCCCAAACTTTAAGAGAAAAAAGAACCCGCGCTGTTTAATTGGAAGGGCGTAATTCTTCACCACGATAACGCACGACCGCATACTGCAAGAATCACTGCTGAAAAACTGCGCCAGTTGGAATGGGAAGTTCTCCCTCAACCTGCATATTCTCCTGATATTGCCCCTTCTGATTACCATTTGTTTCGTTCTTTGCAAAACTTTCTTCTTGGAAAAAGTTTAATAATGAAGAATGCCTCAAAAATGCATTGACCGAATTTTTTGCATCAAAATCACAAGAATTTTACAACAGAGGGATTAAAATGCTTCCTGAGCGTTGGGCACAAGTAGTAGAAAACAACGGCAACTATATTGTTGATTAAATTTTGTTGTATTGTTTAAATAAATTTGATTTAAAAAAGTATTAGAAAACGACATTAATTATTACTGGACCTAATATTAATCCTTACCCGAGGATTTTTTCCATTGGATTTTAGAAAGAGTGGAAGGGAAGAAGGGAGGGGTAGAAAGAAACATCAATGTGACAGAGACACATTGATTAGTTGTTGCTTCCTGAACGTGTCCCAACTGGGGCCAGGGATTGAACCCAGGTACATGCTCTTGTTAGGGAATGGAATTTGAGACCCTTTGGTGCTTTGACCAATACTCTAACCACTGAATGACTGGCCAGGGCTAATATGATATTCTTTTTAAAAATATATATTGATTTTTTTACAGAGAGGAAGGGAGAGGGATAGAGAGTTAGAAACATCAATGAGAGAGAAACATTGATCATCTGCCTCCTGCACACCTCCTACTGGGGATGCGTCTGCAACCAAGGTACATGCCCTTAACCAGAATCAAACCTGGAACCTTTCAGTCGGTAGGCTGACGCTCTATCCACTGAGCCAAACTGGTTAGGGCTGATATTCTTTATCTTGTTAAATTTCCAATGTTTGATAGCTTTCCTTCTAAATTGGGCCTAGACATGCTCCTTAACCCACCTCTACCCTTTGAGTGGGGTATCCACATAGAAATAACTCTCCTGTTAATTCAGGGGCTCTCTTATGAGAGGCATAATGTCTTTCCTAAACTAACAATAAGGTTTTCAAGAGTGGAGACTTTATTTTCATCCCAAAGAAACTATATTAGTTTTGCAGCAGCAACATGCCCTGTAATGAAGGCGTTTCCAGAGTGACTTTTGGTAGGTGAAATTAGCCATTATGGAATATGACATTGGGTCCCATTGGTTCAGGTCCCATTCTTTAGTATCAAGTTTCCTATTAACCAGAACTTATCCACCTGTTCCCACTCAATATGGGAGGGAAAGGGAATTGTGAGTTTGTCATTCATTACACTTTGGATTTTTCTTTTAGCACTTACCACATGTTATAGTTAACTAGAGGCCCAGTGCATGAAATTCATGCACAGGTAGGGTCCTTAGGCCTGGCTAGCGATCAGGATGGATCGGAGCCTTCCTTCATTCCATGCCCCCTCCTGGTGGTCAGTGCACATCATAGTGAGCAGTGGAACTCCCAGTCGGTTGAATCCCTTAGAGGAAAATTTTCATATTAACCTTTCATTATATAGGAGTATTTAATATCTTATATCCTCTTTTATTTTTTTAAAAATATATTTTATTGATTTTGTACAGAGAGGAAGGGAGAGAGAGAGTTAGAAACATTGATGAGAGAGTCATCGATCAGCTGCCTCTTGCACACCCCCTACTGGGGATATGCCCGCAACCAAGGTACATGCCCTTGACCGGAATCGAACCCGGGACCTTTCAGTCCCCAAGCCGACGCTCTATCCATTGAGCCAAACCGGTTTCGGCTCTTATATCCTCTTTTAGAACTGGATACTCTCCTTGGTGATATGAAATTGTTTTATTCTTTGTAAGTGACCCAGTGCCTAGAACAATGTCTATCACTTTTTGGGTACTTATGTCAATTTCTATTTGAATCTTTGAAAGACTATCCAATAGGAAACAACACATGGTGTAGTGCACTAACTTGTTGGATGACTTACTCTTCTGTTTCTTTAGATCTGTAAATGATATGGTTGCATTAGATTAGGCATTATTAACCAGGGGTCAGTGGATTCCAGGATATTTTTGACTCTTTATCCCATACAAAGTTTTAAAACCAAAGGCCTGATGACTTCGTAGAGATGCACTATATTACTCCATAACGTGTACTGCAACTGCAATAAATAATATGTGGAAACCAAAACTGCATCGTGCCTGTGGCTATACACATTCACACACACTCAGGTTTGTCTAGAGCCCCTTAGGCTTTGACCTCAAAAGATAAAAACACAAGGACAGAGTCTGATTAATTTTTATTTATTGATTTTAGAGAGAGGAAGGGAGGGAGATGAGAAACATCAATTTGTTGTTCTACTTATTTATGAATTCATTGGTTGCTTCTTGTATATGCCCTGACTGGGGATAGAACCCACAACCTTGGTGAGTCGGGACAATGCTCTAACCCAGTGGTCGATAAATTCATTAGTCAACAGAGTCAAATATCAACAGTACAACGATTAAAATTTTTTTTTGAGAGCCAAATTTTTAAAACTTAACTTCTAACGCCACTTCTTCAAAATAGTCTCGCCCAGGCCTCGGTACTTTGTGGAAGAGCCACACTCAAGGGGCCAAAGAGCCGCATGTGGTTTGCCAGCCTCAGTTTGCCTACCACGGTTCTAACCAACTGAACTACCCTGTCAGTGCCTGATTAATTCTTTAAAATGCCGATTATCTAAATTCCCAGCATATAGCCTCCCCTAAAAGGCGGCTCACCAGTGGGGTGAGCACTTCACCCACGCAGGCCATTGGCCGGGTCGCCCAGACATTAAAAGTGGTTCTGGCCTTGGGGGGGGGGGGGGGTTGGGAATCTGACCACGAAGACGGAGGGCTATTTAACGGAAAGATTCGACGGGCGGTGAGGCTGATCGCCGCCGGCGAGGAGGACGCGGGCAGCTGAGACCACAGAACCGACTCAGCCACGTACTTGGGCGGCGCGTCGAGGCCACGTGGCCGGAGGTAGAGAACCTCCAACTCGGCCGGGCCGTCTGGGCGCTCCAGGCCTGGGCGGCGCCTGCCTGTCCCACCCCCTCCGGCCTCCCAGGAGGCGGAGCGGCCACCAAACCCGGACCTCCGGGTTTCCCGCCCCGGTGGCTCTTCAATGGCCTTTTGTAAAAAAAAAAAAAAAAAAAAATTGGGTCTGGAAGCAGGCGAAGGGGAAAGTGGTGGAAAATTCACGGGACAAAGTCGTGAGAGGCGAAAAAGAGGGCGACTTGAGAGATCAAGTTCGGGCCAGAACCTAGAGAGAAAAACCCCCTCGCTTGGTGCCCCTCGAGGGGCTTGCCTTCGGCTGCCTCCGGGGGAGTTTCGGCTCTTTCCGGCATTTCCCGCTCGGGCGCCCCCACGCCGCCCGCTCGGTCTGGGCTCCGGCGGTTCTGCTTGTGGACGCAAGCTTGCGTTCCAGCCGTCCCCACTTCTAACCTAATAATTTGTTTCCGACCTACTCCTCCGGCCCTTTCCCTTCCCCGTAATCCCAATCCCTTGGCCAGGCCGGGCCCCCTCCACTCAGGCGCGAGGGACCCCGCCACGACAGTAACGGTAACGCGACGGACAGAAGCCCGCCTCGACCCCGCCGCCTTCCCGCTCGCACGCCGGGATCGCGCCGTCGCGAGAACGCGCCCTGCGCGCTGGCCGGCTGGCGCGCACGCGCCCGAGCGGGCTTCCGGGCGGGGCGCGCGGCTCGAGGTGCGGATCCGCAGGCGCGCCGGCCCCTCGCCGCCACTGCGCGTCCCAGCCCGCGGGCCGGCGGAGGGAGGAGCGGCGGGGGGAAAGGGGCGGGCGGGGGCGGGGCGGCGTCCGGCTCCGGGAGAGTTGGGGGAGGAGCGCGGCGGCCACGGCGGCGGCTCCCGAAGAGGCGAAGGAGGCGGCGGAGCTGCTTTCCTCCTCACGGACCCGGAGCGTCCGGGACGCGGAGCCCGGAACTGGGGGGACGCGGCGGCGGCGGCGGGGGTTCGGCGTAGGTGAGGCTGAGCGTGCGGGGTGCGGAGGGAGGGGGGGCGTTGGGGAAGGATGAAGGGAGCGCGGAGGAACTGCGAGCGGGCTGGAGGGAGGAGGGCACGGGGGAAAGAGTAGTTGTTGGGGGCTGGGTACGGAGGAGACGGGGAAGTGAGCCCTGGGGACTCGGAGTGTCCAGATGGTGAAAGGTGTTTGGGGTCCGCAGGGCGGGCCGGAGCACACCGGTCCGAGTTGGGGTGTTTCCAGAGGCATAGGCCAGGGGAAACAATGGGGTGAGTTCTCGGGTGTAACCCTGTGTTGTGGGGTATTGGATTTTAAGAAACAAGGAGAGATGGAAAATAATGAAGAAGAAAAAAGGTTATTTGGGAGTGGAAGTACAAGGAAGTGGGAATGCAGTGGGAATGCGTAAGGTCATCTGCATGAGTGCCGGAGGTCCTTAAGATTTGGGGCAAAAGTGGGATTTGAAAATAAGAGATAGAAGAACATTTTTGCAATTGAATTGGGGGGATAAAAGAGCATTCTTGGAATTGGGAGGGTGGGAGAGAACGGAAAATTATGCGAAGTGGGGCAGAGAAACGAAATGGATGTGGTTTGGGCTTGAATTAAACCAGAGGGTGGGTCTAGTTGGAAAGGGTTATATACGTGGACCAGAGTTCTAATTCACCCGGGATGATTGGGTTATTTTAGAAGGGGGATCTTTCTCAGGCTTGTCCCTCTGCTAAGGAGTACAAGCTGCTCTTTTAGTAATTTGGTTGTCATGTATAGTCCGTTCCATTGATAAAGCATACCTGTGATAATTCTGTCTCCTCTGCTCAGGTTGCAGTACGTATTTTACCTGTGGTTAATGAAGCAGGAGAGGACAGATCGCCAGAAACCGGCACCTATCCATGCTTTTGAGTCAGGTCAGTGATAATGCAGAGTTCACGGTGTTTGAGAGGAAACCAAGAGTTTGTTTTCATTTAGACCAAAAGGTGATGAATAGCCTCGATAAAATCGAGTTATCTGTACTTTGTTAGAATTGCAGTTTCTCACTGAGAAATGTTCATGTACCATCTGCTACTGGTTTTATGTTTGTGAGAGAGCTTGGGTACTGCCTCAAAATCTTGACGCTGATTTCAAATCACCAGGCTGCCTCATGTTTTCCAGTTTGAATGAAGGTGATTTGAAAAATCACCTTATTTGAAAATATTGTGGGGAAGTACTGTATTTCCTTGAGAACTTGGATTTCCAGACTACATTTTGAATGAATGGTATCAGGTATAAGATTTCTTGTTTTTGAAACTAGTTACCTTTCTGTGTTCATAAATAGTCCACGTTAAGCTTTTTATTTGTTGAGTATTAAGTTTTGCTGACTCATCTAAGATTTCTGGGAATTCATCAGTTTATATTTATTTCTCAGCTAGTAGCATTAGGCCATTTTATAAGGGTCCAGAAATAATTATGTGAATTGTCACTTTGTTATGTTATAAAAACTGAACAAAGCAAGGAGTGAGTGCAATGTCCTCATTAATGATAACATGGCTCTTTATTTTTATTTTTATTTTTTTAAATATATTTTATTGATTTTACCCAGAGAGGAATTGAGAGAGATAGTTAGAAACGTCGATGAGAGAGAAACATTGACCAGCTGCCTCTTGCACCCCCCCACTGGGGATGTGCACGCAACCAAGGTATGTGCCCTTGACTGGAATCGAACCCCGGACCTTTCAGTCCGCAGGCCGATGCGGTTTCGGCACATGGCTCTTTATTGACCTTTTCCAGTGGGTTAGGCAAGGTGCTAAGATTATTTTGCATACATTATCTCATTTAATTGAATCCTCACAATTATTTCCTATTTTATAAATTAAGAGTAATTTACTGAGGTCACAGAGCTAGTAAATAAAGCTGAATTCAGACCCAGCTCTTTTGGATGTCTTCTTTAAATCTTCACTGCCTGGCCCTAGCTGGTTTGGCTCAGTGGATAGAGCCTTGGCCTGCGGACTGAAAGGTCCCAGGTTAGATTCTGGGCAAGGGCACATGCCCAGGTTCCAGGCTTGATCCCCGGTGGGGAGCATACAGAAGGCAGCTGATCAGTAATTCTCTCTCATCATTGATGTTTCTCTCTCTTCCTCTCCCTTCCTCTCTGAAATCAATAAAAATATATTAAAATAAATAAATAAATAATTCTTCACTGTCTGGTGGTTCTCCTGCCCTCTCCCTCCTCTAGTTTTGGTTGTAATAAAAGCAGCATGAATTGGTTGCAACTTGAATCTGATACAATATTAGTTATTTAGATGAAGATTGGGTTAGTGGGCTACATCTCTAGAGTTAATTGAGTGTTGACTCCTGTGATTTACCAAATCTGGGGTCCTGATAATAGTGCTAACACATCTTACTAAGAGTTTGTCCTGTGAGCACACTTCATTTTCTGTTTGGTGTATGCTGTGCATACATGCCACTCTTCTGTGTAGAAGTCAAGACAGCAAATTGTGGAATCAAAACACGGGAAAACAATGGAAAACTGCTGAATACTCAAGTGCCCTCAAAGCACCTGTTGAATCCACAGTTGGTACTAGCATTATCTCTAAATATAGATAGAATCCTCTTAGAAACTCCTAGTGAAACAACTAGAACTGAGAGAAACAGCTGGGGCCTAAAGGAAGAGCCATAGGTTACAGGCCAAAACACCAGCATACCACCTGGAGGCTGATCCAGGAGTAGCGAAGGGCTACAGATACTAGTGAATGGCAGGAGAGGGAATTGTTTGTTGAGCATTTCTGTAGTCTAGGCATTGAACTCAGTGTGTTTTATATATATTATAAAGTCTTCATTCAATCCTTAAAAGTTATAAGGATTATCCCCATTTTTCAGATGAGGCTCAGAAAGGTTAAGTAACTTGTGCAGAGTCAGTTAATAATAGCAGTGAAGGATGTTTGTATGTACTATTTATTGTTGTTATTATTTTAAATTGCTGTTTGCAATTTCTCACTATAGAGCCACCTTGTTAAAATTGGGAACTAACAGTTACTCTTTAAGAACCACTGTGCTGCCAAAACCGGTTTGGCTCAGTGGATAGAGCATTGGTCTGCGGACTGAAGGGTCCCAGGTTCGATTCCGGTCAAGGGCATGTACATTGGTTGCAGGCACATCCCCAGTAGGGGGTGTGCAAGAGGCAGCTGGTTGATGTTTCTCTCTCAACGTTTCAGGCTCTCTATCCCTCTCCCTTCCTCTCTCTGGAAAATCAATAAAATATATTAAAAAAAATAAAAATAAAAAATAAAATAAAATGGCTCTGCA